CCCCAAAAAAAAAGAACGCAATTTACGCAGCTGTTGATTGACCTTGACAATAAAATGTTAAATACATGATAAAAATAATTTTACGAATTTAAGATCTTGGGAGTGTCAGGTTTTGTGCATGCATGGTTCAAACTATCTAGTAAATTAAATATTTAGTTATTTCAAGATATTTGATTTATTGTCAGAATTTTGTGGTTAGGAAAGACCTATGAAGGATACAAGAACAATATTACGTGTACGTGTGACTCAAGCCTAATTAATTAATTTAAGAACACTTTATTTAAACTTACTGCATGGGATTTTTTTATAAAAAAGTAATGCAAAAGAAAAAGTGTGCGAAAATTATTGACTGAGGCTGAGCGGACGTAGCAAAGACGTTTAAGTTAAGCCGATTTACGTTATCTAAAAACTGTTTTTGATTTAAACAATATTTAATGATAAAAAAGGTAATTTTTTCCAAAAGTGCAGATGCACGCCTCTGTATAAAGGATGCTTTCCAGTTAAGCGTTTTTCAAACGTGCGTGTAAGCACGCAAAAAATTTAAATCCTTTTCAATTTTACCAGTGAAATATAACTGAATAAATAAAAAGTGATTCTGTATAATTTAATATGTATTTGTTGAGATAATTAGTACTTATAAAGAATTTGGAAAGATTTAAATTTTTCCGTCCCTAAACGCACGTATGGAAAACGCCTAACTGGAAAGCAGCCTTAAATGTAATATTTCATGATCAGCATGTCACATTGGGTTACTGCATTGTATGTCAGCGCTACAATCCTGGCAAAAACTATTGTAGATAGGGCGTGCGTAAAACGAAATGCCTCCAATTTTCAACTCCCCCCTCCCCCCGCTCAATGTATATAGAATACATGTAAATTGGTTAGGTTAAAGCTTTGTGAAATACAATGTCACCACCAACATTGTGGACGGGGAAGCGCGGGCGATCAAAGATACAACATGTGTGCATAAACAGTAAGTAACACTTTAGTTTACAGCGCACGTGTCCATGGAATTTTTGCCATGATTGTAGATATAATATAAGCGACTGCTGCTTTTAATCCTTGACCTGCACACTTGTTCCACAATTTGAGGTGTCCCGACCTCAAGCGCTGGAATGTCCACAATTATTTTTTGACGTAGCAATGCCGTGCTAGTTATGGAAAACCCTTATTTAGTATCCTCTGACGTACGACATGACATATCAGAGGACAAATTTTCGTCGACTTGTGTCCATTTCTTTTCGCTAATAAAACAAATAGTACAAGATTAGTTGTTGGGACGCCCTCCAAAGGCTGGGCTTCCCCCAACACAACGTTGTATTTGAAGCATTGTCAACACCATTCACGTTTCTAGTCTGAATGAGAGATTGTTTGCCTGATGTATGGAACATATTAAACCATTATTTACCTTATGTATCCATTCATACTGTCCAAATTTTGTATCAAATGTTCCTCGTTGTAACGATCTCAACTTTAAAGTAAATCTGGGACCGAGCTCCTGGAGACCAGTTTTCTGTGAGTTCTTGAAAATATATCTAATACAATCAAATAAAGACCAATTAAATTTGATTTGTGAGTAAGGGAAAGGGTGCATTGTCTAAGATTGTCTACATTCATAACTATATAGCGGGCAATGGAATCATAGTCGAATGCATATCTGTAAAAAAGTATGGGTGACTGAACCTTGATTTTTAAAACAAATTTAACATCCATCCCAAACCTTAAGGAAAAGTTTCGTTTACCATTCAGATATTAGTAAACTATTTCCGATTCCCTTATAGGGACTGTTCAAAATCCATGGTACTCATTTCTGATGCGTTTTCTATTTCGGCCGTCGCTTTTGGCACACAGGTCTTGGTTTACCTCATCCTGTCGACTTATAAGTTAGACATTGTCAATCGATTGGAGAGGAAATCATAATGGCCATATTTTGCTCCCTGGCGAACATACCGTACCCCTGGCCTCCTCCACAGGCAACTTTGTGAACAGTGAACTATTATTGGTTAGGCTCGATTAACCAGGCGGCATTTGGGGAAGCTCCCCTAAGACTCGGTTAAAACAAACTTGGTCGAGCAGGATGTCCCAGCAAGGTGATTTCCTGCTCTGCCAAATATTGCGTAAATCCTGCCACAGGAGGATATAAACCATTTCGTGCCTCGTCAGAGAAATAAAGGATATTACACGGCGGCGCGAAGATATGACTTTTATCTTCGAGTGGTCAAACCGCTCGTTCGTAAAATATCGTTTTAACACGAGAAGATAAAGTCATATCTTCAAGCCACGGTGTAATGTTCTCTTTATTATATAGTCCCCAGCAAAAAATTGTGAAATTTCACGCTCAAAAGCAAATTGGAAAAAGTCACGTAATCGATATCTTCACTAGTGAAGATATGGAAAATATCTCACTGTGTATAAGATATTTTATACCACATCTTCCGCCCCGGGGTTGTATATACCTTATGACTTACCTATGGTGTCTAAAGAATATGAAATCTCTTTGATTGTGAAATGTGGCGCAACGTCTGCCCTGGAACTGAGGATCATACGGAAACAGAGATGCCAGTAACCTAGCAACCGAATGACCTAACCTCGTCTTGAAGTTGTTTAAAATCACTTCTGGACGGTGTGATGATGCTCTACCATGATTCTATATGCAACAAAAAAACTCATATAAGCATTTGCCGACCTGAATTATGAAGAATGTCGAGGCCCCGCTTCCATATAAACTGAACGTGTTAAAAAAGTATATGCATTTCGATCATCGTCTCGTCTCTGCAAACCTTTCGCCTCGTGTATATATTTTTTAATTTAACAACTTTAATTTGGCACATAAAAAACTGAATATTTACATAACTTAAACGGACAATTACATTGTACAAGAAGACGAGGAAAGTGCCAAAAGTGGCAAAACACAAACGAGACTATGTCCCATGCAGGGTGCTCACCACTAGACAGTAGACAACAAACAAAGACAAGAAACAAAGACGAGGAAGATTAAATGAAAAGACTAAGAGAATGAAAAGACAGAAAGAATGAAAAGACAAAGAGAGAAATGTTAGATATTTTTATTGAGTCGTGATAAGTGAGTGTGAACTAGGTAAGTCAGGAGTGTAGGAAGTACTAGTGAGGTGGATGTAAGTCTTGCGCAAGTATGACTTAAAAGAGGAGACAGTGACATAACAATACGAAGGAGCAGACGTACAAACATAGTTCCACAGTTTAACAATTCTAACACAATACGAACTTTGAAATGTACTTGTTTTGCATGCTTGTGTTCTCAGAAGACCAGAAGTGGCCGCGCGTGTCCTTCCCGTTGTAACTTCAACATACTGCGATATGTCAAAATCTGTGAGACCGTACATGCATTTATAGAAAAATATCAAGTCCTTCTGTTCTCTGTCGTATACAAGCGGGATTAAATTAAGTTGCATTAAGCGCTGTTTGTAACTTAGTTCTCCGCGTTTCTTCTTTAGTATCCACAGTGTTGCTCTTCTTTGAACTCCTTCGATTTTCTTTGATAAGTGGCTGTTGTTAGGAGGGCACCATACCTCGCTTCCATAAACAAGTTGAGATTTAACTAGCGTTAGATATAAGGTCCGTCTGACCTGGGTGTGGTTAATGTCAAAGCATGAGCGTTTGAGGATACCAAGCATTTTATTTGCCTTCGCCACCATCTTCAGTATGTGTGGGCCCCATTTCAAATTGCTGGTCACGAGCATACCAAGATCTTTCTCGACTTGACAAGGAGATAATTCATTACCATATATGCGATATGGAAATCGCGTTGGGTGTTGCTTTCTTGATATTGTCAGCACTTTGCACTTTTCAGTGTTAAATCGCATTTTTGAATCAGTGCTCCACTTTTCCAGTTTGGCAAGGTCGTCTTGCAGGAACTGGCAATCTTCTACCGATTTTATTTCTCTGTATAACTTTGAATCATCTGCATACAGTGCTGAGTTCGTACTGGGTGAAACGTTATCGGGAAGATCATTTATGAATATGACAAAGAGCAACGGTCCCAGAATGCTGCCTTGCGGTACACCTGATGTTACTGGAGACCATGCAGAGGCTGCACCATCAATGACAACTCGCTGCCATCTATCGTTCAAGTAGTTTTCGAACCATCGTAAAAGCGTTCCGTTTATGCCATGCATTTGTAGTTTGTGAAGTAGGATGTCATGATCTACAGAGTCGAACGCTTTCGAGAAATCTAGGTATAGCACATCGATTTGTTTGTTTCGATCCAGATTTTTACCAATGTCATGTAGTATACCTAGAAGCTGGGTTATACATGAACGATTTCTTAAGAAGCCATGTTGGACATTATTGATCAGTACACGAACAAAAGGGTAAATGTTATTGAAAACGCATCTTTCGAGAACTTTGGAAATTATTGGCAGAAGGGAAATGGGACGGTAGTTGGTCACGGGTTCGACACAGTCTTTTTTGTGGATGGGTATAACGTTCGCATGTTTCCATTCCATAGGTATAGGCGGCCTGTTGTTAAGGACATGTTGAACAAACTGCAGAGGCTTGTCGAGATTTCTCTTGAGAATTCTTTCAGTAGACGTGGTGGTATTCCGTCTGGTGGTATTCCGTATATACTGTACACTGAGAGCGTCCAACTACAATATGGATTGACCCGCCGCTTGTGTGTGATTGAGCCGCTTAGTGAATCACATTAAACAAGTTTCATACCTTAATCTGTTTTGATAATTTGATACTGCTCAGTTTAAAATGTGCCGTTGGACCATCTGGAAGGTGTATTAACAATAAGGTATCTGATATCTTGGTCAAGGTAAATTATTATTAACAACTATTTTAACAGTTTCAACTACCAACAACCACTTTTTCACGATTATTCAATAACCCTGGGTTATTGAATAATCAGAGTATTCCTTCTCACTTCTCAAACTTACTAATCAGTATTCCTAATTCTAACTTCTCAAACTCACTTGAACGGGGGTGGGGGTGGGGGTATGCCTTGGAAATGATGTGAAATTACAGTGTAATGAGTGTATGTCCCATAGTTTTTGGAAAAAATCGTAAGATATTGCATGACGTACAAGAACATTTCGAGACAATGCAAAGACGGAGAAACCCTGGCTGTGTTTAACTTTTACATGTACTTTCATTGCAGTTTCGTACTTAGATGTCCTTATGTACGCATGCACACGCGCATTCAACAGCGAGAGTTCAACGTTATAAAGGATACTTGGTTCTTTATGATTTTCGTTGACCACAACAAGGTTGGTAAAACCTCGTTCAATTGCTTGAGGAATTATCTTCTTTATATCAATTCCTTTCCGGTATTTCACTTCGGAGTTCGGAATGATTTGTTCCAACGCATCCACAAATTGCACTGTTTTCTATAAAAAAATATTGCGTTGGTAAATGAAACAATGTCACGTCATTAATCCGTGTTCATGATGATCATGAATAAAAAGGGCCTCCAGGAAGAATATTCTACTAGCAGAATTAGCCAACCCCGTAAAACCCGCGTAAACATATGTTAAACAGGTACACAAAATTTATCGTTTTGTTTCTGTTACACTTTTCTAAAACTCCTTCTTTAATATCGCAGCGTAAGAATTTCTTCATGTATAGTTATACATAGAATAAGATCTTTAATTTAAGAATCATGATAATAATTTCTTCATCTCATATAATTTATCACTGAAAAAGGCATCTTTGACTCAAACACAACAAATTCTTCAAACACAATAACTCCAGTCGGCCCACCTACCACCATCCCTTGTAGAACGCATAGAAACAGTACATACCACAGTTGGTTTGTTACTGGTAGTTAACAAAACTTTGGGTCGAACTTCGCATTTAAAGTAAGTACTGAGTTCATCGCTTTCTTCATCATGTAAGATCTGCAGTAGAAAAATTTAGTTATACATATCACTGTTGAAATAGACAGGGATTTATACTGTATTTGTCACTTCTGTGGTCCATCTAATAATTTAATAATAATTTAATATAGTTATATAGCGCCACTTCCCGAAACTCAACGGCGCTATTTAGCTTACTGGGCTTACTTTAGTTTGTGGTTCTCGACTGGGACCTTATTAGAAGGGGTGTTAGGAACAGTGGTTATCGTCCTTTGTCTATATCTTCGTTTGTCTCTGTCCTCTGAACAGTGGTTATCGTCTTTTGGATCGACTTAATTAATGTCTTGGAAGTTCACATTCGTTTCGGCTAAATAAATAGCCCAGAAATACCTCGCCTGTTCTATGAACCAAACAACTATGGTTCTCAAAATTGTTCCAACATGAAGTAATCCTAATTAGCAAACTGATGTGTAGCCTGCATGCGTGGCAGGCATGCACGCTAACTGATGTGCTGACCGAACACTAGCTCACTAAAAGTGTTTTTCATGCAGGTAATGCGGTCATACAGGGATTTTTCCTCGAAAACAGGAATTCTCAATAGTTTTAGAATTGTACTTTAGGATTTTCCCATGGAATTTAACTGCCCAGTGTTCGAAATTCTTCTGAACAAAATATAAAATCACATTAGTATGCTGGGTCTGATGTCTGAATATATATGAAGAGTGTCCTTGGCTTGGGACTGCCATCAGATAGGGTTTCGGTGGCGCAATCATCAGAGCAAGTGCCTTTCACCTCGGAGATCGTGGGTTTGACTCTCGCTGCGTCCTGATGACAAGAATCAGTTCACTCTCTTCCGAGAATCGTGGGTACTCCGGTTTCCTTCCAGTGCATGGGAAGGCAACAAGGTCGGTTCGTTCAAACTGAACTTTCCATCGTAGCTGTGCTCCGTGATCAGACATGAATCACGAGGTACTCTTAAAAAGCGTTCGAAACCAAATATGAGCGTGGTATTAATTTCATATTAGAGAGGTTAAGATACCCCGGTTCCGGTTTACAGGCACGAGTATCGCCATTTTGTTTACCAATTTTTGCTGATGTCAGCAATTTTACCCGTAATTTCTACCCGTTTCCCCGCGGTAAACCATGGAGTACACGTAAAAGACAAACGGGTGCGGGTGTTTTCTGTTTGCTATTTTTGGGCCGTTTAAATAGTGCAAATTTTCAATATCTTACCCAAATAAATAATGCACATATGCTGATCAAAGTTTTCAACAATTTATGGCGAACCTCAACAACGAAATTTGCCATTCTCTGATCGGTTTTCTCACGCCGGAGTATCTTGGATTTCTTAAGTTACAAGTTATTCCCCGATTTATGGGTACGGGTACGTGTATATCACCCGTACCCGTAAACCGGAATCGGGGTATCTTAACCTCTCTATTGTCAGAATCTGCCATGTTGCGTGCGACACATGGTTCCACGAACGCGTTGTGACTTCAAACACCCAATTCAATTAACTGAATATTGGTGAGTTACCTCTTCATCATCAGCTGCAACCATTGTCTCATCTGGGAGTCTGGTGCTTTCAATCGTTCTTGGCACTTGCTTTGGCGGCGCCTGAAAGAGTGAAAAAATAATTTGCAAATTTCTTCCTGCACAAATTGAGTGATGAAGATCGACACTTATTGAGTACACGCAATGACTTGAAGTTTTATTTGTTCACGGCAACCAGGTTTAATATAACAAATGTTTTTGTTCGCTACTCTAATTTAAATAAATGAATACAATTCCCAGCCGAGATTTCCAGTTGGCACTGTTTTCTAAAGTATTCAGCTATATATGAGGGATTATTCAAATCAAACAATAAAATATCTATTTTTAATGGGCAAATATCTATTTTGAATGGGTATAAGTATCCATTTTGAGGGTTGTTGGGGACACATTTATTGAAATTAAGTGCATGCATGCATGGCTGATTTTCCACACAAGTCCCCCAAACTAATCACTTCTACAACTGACTTTTTCAATTGCCATTTTGATGATTCATTTTCATTGTCAAAATTTCCTTTGTCAAGGTTAACATGTCAATTGTTTGTTGAATAGAATTGTGGTATAAATAATACAGTAGTACAGTTTTGACATTTTTGTTTAAATTGGAAATAACAAGTACGATCGTATGTAGAGAAGCGCCTTTTAGTGTATGTGTTTTAGCGCCTTTTAGTGCATGTGTTTTTGAGGAGAGAGAACCGCATGGAAGTGAGATATTGTAGAGTTAAGGTGAAATTGTGAGATGTATTTCGTGGAGATTAATCGTTGTTGAGTATTGTAATTAAAGAAATAATTAAAGAGTTTTGGTATTATCTTAGTCCAGTAGTGCTTCGTGACAATTTTGGAGGTCCCACCGAGACCAAACTTGTGGAAATGATGTGACATTTTGACTTGTTTTTCGAGTGTGTTTTGTATCGTGCAAACATGGCGGTCGAGCCTGAGCAAGCAGAAGCACCGAATGTTGAGACGAATAAGTTATCTTTGTCATTGTTTCGAAGGCCCGACAAGTTTAAAATTGGCGAAGACTTTGATTTGTTCATCAAGAAATGTAATTTGTACTTCGAAGCAGTGGAACTTGAAGATGTTAAAAAGCGACGATTTGCGCTGTTGTTTAATTTGAGCGAAGATGCGTTTCGTTTGGCAGAACCGGTTGAGTTTGGCGAAGGGGAAAACGCGTACAAAGATTGGATTGGAAAGTTGAAGTCGTTATTTGAAAGGAATCAGACTGCTACAGAGAAACGTTACAATTTTCATCGTCGAGAACAGGAGCCTGGTGAGTCTGTTGATTCGTATGCTGTTTCTTTGCGAGAAGCTGGAGCTAGATGTGGTTTCCATGGTGACGAATATTCTAGCAGGTTGGTTTGATCAATTTATTTTGGGGTTGAGAGATAAGGCCACCCAAAACAAGTTGTTACAAGAGCCACCAAACAGTTTAGATGATGCCTTGTTAATTGCTCGAAGATTTGAGGCAGCAAATGCCACAATGAAAACATTAGCCAGAGAAGCAACAGAAAAATTAAGTAGAACAACAATTGGCTCAGTTCTTTGAATGCTGCTAAAACATGTTATTCGTGTAATGGATTTGGTCATGTGTCCAGACAGTGCCCTACTATGAACAACTTCAGGCAAAATAATACTGCACGGCCACAAACTAAGTTATGTTATTCATGTCAAAAGCCAGGACATTTGGCAAAATCCTGCCTCTTGGCTAATCAACAACCAGTTAATACTAAGCTCCAAGGTTATGATAAGAATTGGCAAATGGATAGACACGTGACCATTTGCTATCGTTGTGGGAATAGTGGCCATATTGCAAAGTTCTGTAATGCCAAGTTGGAGGGAGGTATGGGTTCTAGTAGAGATGGTGAAAGCCCCAAGAAAAATGATTCAAAAATCAGACTGTCTACCGTTTCTTCAGCGAGTAAGAAGAAAACCCTTATGGTCGAGACTACTATTAATGGGAAAAACAAACTTTGTATAGTTGACACTGGCGCATCTATTTCATTAGTTAGTAAAGACCAGTGGCAACCTCTTAAACTGGATGATACCCCATTATTTCCATCCGATATTGTTGCAGAAGCCGCTAACAATTCTCCCATTGGGATTTTGGGCAAAACCACCTTGAATGTGCAATTTGATGAAAACAACAAGTCATCTCATGACTTTTATGTGGCTAATGAAATGGTGTCTGAAATTATTCTGGGTTTAGAACTTTAGATTGGTTAGTAACTAACAAAGTAAATGTCGATATGGCTGAAATGGTTTTGAAATTCCCAGATGGTACCACAAAACCCTTGTGTTTATTTGATTCAACCATAGCAGATCCCCTGGGCGTTGTTCTAGATGAGGATTTGGTTGTTCCGGCGAAACATGAAGTTTTCAAAACTGCCAGGGTCCGAAATCCCACTTTAAATGAAAGCATCTTAGAGCCTAATATGAATTTATCCGAGAAAGGTGTTCTTGTAGCAAGAGTTATTGTACAGCCAAAAGAACAGAGGGTACCCATCCAGATTATTAATCCAGGGACATCACCTATTAAGTTGTACAAGGGCATGACGGTT